TAAGCCTGTATGAGAAATTGCATTAAAGAGGATCTTCCCTTTCCCCTTCCCTCTCTGTGATAATAAATAGAAGGTAAATAAACGATAATACTTGCCTATGCCCTTGTTACTTTTTGTTCATATTTACCTTTTTTTTATCCTGCCTATGTGCTGCCTGGTTCCCCATCCCCACTGCCGCCATTTCTAAAATGTCCATGATACTGACCATGCGCAAGATGAAACACATGGAACCATGTATTTTATCATGCGCTGTACAACACTACATGCGCCTGTTGGTAAAAAAAAAAAAACCTTTCCTCAAGATCTTACAAGATCTCAGGGAGAAGTTTTTATTTCTCCCCAGCAAATGAATGTAATGACGTCATGCGCTTCATCTCATGCATGAGCAGAACGACAATACTGTGAGATCTCGCAAGGTACCAGATTTCCTTGAAGGCAGCAGTGATGTTGTTTTCCCAATGGGCATTACTGTGGCTGGAGTTTTAACAATACAAAACACTTTATTGATTCACATATAACACATATGCACAAGCATGCACAAAAATTGAAAATAGTCTCCACCCATCATCGTTAAAATATGACAATGTTGTCACTTAAAACTAGGAAAGCCCGGGTAAGATGTAAATTGTAAGATGTCAATCCCCAAAATGGTATATCACAAGGTTCACATTCACCACCACAAAGTCATCTCATGTGACCAGGTAAAGGAGATGTGTGGGGGCAGAGCACAGACAAAGCAAATAGGGGAATAACTAATCCTAAAGAGATGAAATCATGCATATAAATCTATGTTCGTGTCAATCGAGATGATATAATTCTCAGCCATGTATATAATTGCAGAGATTCACCACTTCAATTAGGAACTCAAAAACCTAAAAGTCCTATCACCCTCATAAAAGTTGTGCTGTGAGTGATTTCAGAGAGACAAGATCCTGACTTGGAATCAATATACTAATAGATGTTCCAGGCAAACCAATCAGTAAGGAAAACACCCTCTGGTGGATAGCTGTAGTCAGTCATCAGACTAGCAGTATGGATGTTCACTCAGATTGTAATTAATCAGCTTCTCTCCAATTGAAACCATCAATCCACCACATCAGCGGATAGTTAGGCTGTATAGTGGGAAAACAATCCACTCTCAGTGGCTCATCCAACAGAGACCATTAGAGGGCTGTCACCCTCATAAAGGTTGTGCTATAAGTAATTTTAGACAGACAAAGTCCTAACTTGGAATCAATAGACTAATAAGTGTTCCAGGTCACCCACTCAATGGGGAAAACACCCTCTGGCAGATAACTGTAGTCATCCATTCATTATTTTCCAGAAGGAGGTCTATGTGAGGAACATGGATTGTAAAGTAGAACAGACCAGCATGGATGTTCTTTCAGGTTGTGATTAAACAACTTGTCTCCATTTGAAACCGTCAATCCACCGCATCAGCGGATAGTTAGGCTGTATGGTGGGAGAGCAATCCACTCTCAGTGGCTCATCCAGTGGGGACCATTAGAAGGATCAGTTACGTATAATCCAAAATAAATCCCACTTACATTTCTGCTGTCACCGTGGTCCTGGCATAGTATGCACTAGGTCTCCACACTTCAGCCAAGAGAGGACAAAACTTATCCCATATCAAGTGGCAGACATCCTCTGGAGACAGGTGATCCCACATGGAAAATCCAGCACTCCAAGTGCAAATGACCCCAGAGCACTCCTTCCTGGTCAAGGCAGTATCAGACCTCCATGCATGCAGACTGACCGAATCCCATAGAGGGTTGGCAGGCTATACTGGTGTAATTGGACATCAATACATGGTCCCAGGTCATTCTAGGAACGAGCTACTATTGACGCATTTTGCCCATCCAACTTGTACACAGGCTTTGTCAAAACCCTTGGGTGATGGGTGGAGACTATTTTTAATATTTGTACATGCTTGTGCATATATGTTATATGTGAATCAATAAAGGTTTTTGTATTGTTAAAACTACTTGGGTCACATGAGAGTACCTTCTTTTCTATGGGGTCTCTCCTCCATATATCTTTTTATCTAATGTTTCTGGGTACTGTGATCCACACCTTGATTTTTGGTGAGTTAGTTAATACAATAATATTTAATTCCCCTGTGTGGCGTTATCACCCTCTGTATCACCCCCTTTTTCTTTTATATTTCCTTAGTGTGGCTGGAGCCGCAGGGAAACCAAGAAATGAAAGAGAAAAAGTAGAAAAACATTTAAAAGAAAAGTGTTAGGCAATTGCACATCAGCATGCAGAGATACACAGTGATGTGAAATTTAGGGAAAAGGGGGAAAAAGTTAGCTTTAAATGCTTATGAACTTAAAAAAGGGTGGGGATGCCAAAAAATTGTTGCTTAATTGAATGAAAAAAGAAAGAGCAAGTTACTTTCTGTGCCTCATTCCTGATTCTGGAATAGTTATACAAGCAGTTTTAGGAAGCCTACTGGAGGTTTGTGCACAAAATGCAACAAAGGAAAAGGATGTGCAACTCACTGCTCTCATCAGACACAGGCTCTACCATCAGGCTTTTAGAACCCACCTGCCGAGAGGTGAAACATCAGGTATATACCAGAGACAAAGTGGAAGTGATGGATCGTGTTCCCAGCTCTGCTGCACGATCAGTCACTCCCTCCTGCCAGAACAGAGCTCTGCCTATGTAAACATAGGCAGAGCTCTATTTCTCCCTGCCCGACAATCTGTGGGTGCCAGCGAACATCCATTCACTGGGACTCGCAGATCAGCTTCTGCTGTGACAGTTCACAGCAGAAGCAATCCACCAGCAGGTATATATAAGTGATTGTGCACAGGAGGACCACCCTGTAGCAGTAAAACTGCTATAGTGTGGTCTTCAAGAATACTCAAAAATCATGAATCTTAGTAAGTGTTAATGTGTATAACACCTAAAATAAATAATACTAATCATTAATGGTATAGTGCAATTATCCAACTGAAAATAATGGCATTGCACCTCACTGCTGCTCCCTTAATAAAGAACAAACCTCACAAAATCACATCTATACCGTAAAATAAAATACATAATTAAAATGTCCATTTTGAATCAAAGCAAAGTCCAAATAGCACCCATGATTTGTGTGGATAGTAGAAGATAGTAGATCCACAAAATGTTTATTTTGTCATTTTTTGAAAAGTTTATCTGTGGATCTCTACTACCCACACAAGTCACTGGTGTTATTTGGACTTTGCTTTGATTTATAATGATGTATTTTATTGCTTGATGTACATGTTCATTGTGAAATTGCACTTTATTAGATCTAAGATCAGAGTGCTACCTCATGTCTATGATCTAAATTGGATTAAGATATACAGAGATGTCCCACTAGTCGATTTTTGTAATTTATTATTGTGGTAAGCGAAGTAATTATTTCTTCTTTATTCACTTGTAGTATGTGTTTCATGGCTTTGTGTACAAAATAATTCAGAAGAAAGTGTAAACCACATGCTGCAGTCACCCCATGACAAAGTAGTCTAAGTCTTCAATAATCCTTGACTACAACATCCTTTCTCTTCTTCTACTAAGTTTTTGCTATGCACACAATGTCTATTAGTTCTGATTAGGTGTTTAAATAACTTACCAGTCATTTAAACCTGAATCTGAATGTAAATACTGATGTCACATTACCTGTAGACATCAACAGGTACGTTTTAAGTTAGTACATTTTATAATAACAATATTCCAATAATAAAATGTAGATCATTATAAACACGTAAACGTTCTATTTATACTGGCTGCTTGGATTGTTGTACACTTTGTTTTCATCTCTTTGTTGAAGACTGATCAAACATGAAAGCTTGAAAGGCTATGTGTACATCATAGCTGTTTGTGCTACTTAATTAAATAGGGCATATAGTTCCATATATATATATAGGGAGAAAATTAAAGTTTTACACCTCAGGGCAAATGTACATCTGATGGTTATTCTTTGATAGTTCTTAAAATGCCACATTGTATTTCTCATTTTCATATTTTAACTACAACTGTCATGTAAAAAGCATCATTGGTGAGGTCACATGGGTCAGAGATATCCAAGACAATTAAAAAGTACTACACAGCAATAGTAATCAGATCTCCAGTGTATACTGTAATTCATATTTTATTTCATCATAATGTTCCTTACTATAAAACAAATCAATTACATATTAAAGTTCTTGGCACTTTTGCTGAGAGATTATAGAGAATGTCATTACCGACTTCTCCTTGTGAAAATATTAGTTATCTGTCTGTCATTGAATGTAGTACTTTCGAAGGAACTTTCCTGGAACAAAAAAGCATATAGGGAGTTCTGTCTTCATGCTGCAGTGGGCTGACTCTTGGAAATGTAAACATTTTTAAGGGTATTTCCACTTTTGCAGTCAAATTTGAGAATAACCCACTGTACAGTATGTTTATGTGTTCACTAGAGATGAGCGAATTATTCAAAAATTCGATTCGGCTGATTCGCCGAATTTGCGGAATAAATTCAATTTGATGCGAATTTATTCGCTGCGAATTTAACTTATAAAAGGGTTTCTAGGCTTCAGAGAGCCTTTATATTAGTGCAGAACACTGTACCTTTAATTTAAATGCCCTTGGAGTCTGCTGGGGAAGAGAAATAATACTGTCAGTCAGTATGACATGCAGATGAGTGCCGTCGATCTTAGAATCACCGCACACTTCACTCATCATTTGGGCAGTCACGGGGCCAAAACCAGAGTGTGGAGCCACAGTGTGGCGGTGGAGGCAGCAGCAATGGGAGGCCATACAGCACCCTATGACAAAATGGAACCCACCAGCAGTGTGAGGAGACCTGAAAGTGGCACATGGCAGAGTGTGGCGATGGAGACAGCAGCAATGGGAGGCCGTACAGGGACCCATGACACACTCTGGACCTGGCAGCAGCATGAGGAGGCGGTACAGGGGCCCATGGCAGAGTGGCGAAGCGTAAGCAGCTTAAATTGAAGGCCATACAGAGGCCTATGTTAAAAAGTCCCCCCAGCAGCAGTGTGGGGAGACGACTATCAAGAGTCCAATGGCAGAGTGGCGGAGCAGAAGCAGCTTCAATTGAAGAAGAAGAGGATGAGGATGAAGAAGAAGAAGAAGAGGATGAGGATGAAGAAGAAGAAGAAGAAGATGAGGATGAAGAAGAAGAAGAAGAGGATGAGGATGAAGAAGAAGAAGAAGAAGATGAGGATGAAGAAGAAGAAGAAGAAGAAGAAGAAGAAGAGGATGAGGATGAAGAAGAAGAAGAAGAAGAAGAGGATGAGGATGAGGAAGAAGAAGAAGAGGATGAGGATGAGGATGAAGAAGAAGAAGAGGATGAGGAAGAAGAAGAAGAAGAAGAAGAGGATGAGGATGAAGAAGAAGAAGAAGAGGGTGAGGATGAGGATGAAGAAGAAGAAGAAGAAGAGGATGAGGATGAAGAAGAAGCAGAAGAAGAAGAAGAGATGATGAGGATGAAGAAGATGAAGAAGAAGAAGAGGATGAGGATGAAGGAAGATGAAGAAGAAGAGGATGAGGATGAGGATGAAGAAGAAGATGAGGAAGAAGAAGAAGAAGAGGAGAGGATGAGGATGAGGAAGAAGAAGAGGAGAGGATGAGGATGAAGAAGAAGAAGAAGAAGAAGAAGAAGAAGAGAAGAGGATGAAGAAGAAGAAGAAGAAGAGGATGAGGATGAAGAAGAAGAAAAGAAGAAGAGAAGAAGAAGAAGAAGAAGAAGAAGAAGAAGATGAGGATGAAGAAGAGAAGAAGAAGAAGAAGAAGAAGAGGATGAGGATGAGGAAGAAGAAGAAGAAGAAGAAGAGAAGAGGATGAGGATGAAGAAAGAAGAAGAAGAGAAGATGAGGATGAAGAAGAAGAAGAAGAAGAGGAGAAGAAGAAGAAGAAGAAGAAGAAGAAGTAGGATGAAAATAAGAAGAATTCCATTCCAGCAAAAAGTGTATCTGCAGAGAGCTCCGCTATTTCTGACAGTTCTCTGACAGTTCCTTCACATTTACAGCGGTTGAAACATTGTATCTATTTGTTTCCGAATAAAAACATCTGTATCCTAAATGGAAACAAATAGATACAATGTTTCAACCGCTGTAAATGTGAAGGAACTGTCAGAGAACTGTCAGAAATAGCGGAGCTCTCTGCAGGGACACTTTTTGCCGGCTGTAGAAGGGATGAAAATCGGGCCGATCGGGGAAAATTCGATTCGTGCATCCGAAGTTTGCTAATTTTCGGATTCGGTGCGAATCGAATTTTTCCTAATATTCGAAACGAATTCCACTTCGCCAAGTTCGATTCGCTCATCTCTAGTGTTCACATTCACACAGCATACCAAAAATCATCTTTCTTTAATATTTCTTACACATTAGATGCTTCTAAGGAAAGGGTGCCATGGGCAATTCTAATAATTTCTGGAAATTCTTCAGTGACTTTGTCCCTACCTCAATACCTATACCTCATTAACATACAATGCAGGAGGGCCCCTGGAATAACCCTGAATGACAACTTTTCAGATGAAACTTATGTTGGGCAGTGATCTGAACTTGGCAGTGACATCATCAGACTGGATGTCGCTCCATTTCCTCAAATTGAACCTTTCCAAAACCGAGCTCCTAATTTTCCCCCCAGCCCGTGCCCCCCCTCCCATCCTCTCCATCATGACCAACAATGCCACCATTAGTCCCACCCCGCAAGCCAAAGTCCTAGGTGTCACTCTAGACTCAAACCTGTCTTTCCAACCCCATGTCCGATCGTTGGAAAACTCATGCAGGCTCCATATCCGCAACATCTCCAAAATACATATGTTCCTAACCCCAGACACTACTAAACAACTCGTTCACTCCCTTATTATCTCACACCTGGACTACTGCAACTCCCTTCTCACCGGCCTACCCCAACACAGACTATCCCCGCTTCAGTCTATCCTGAACTCATTGGCCAGACTCATCCACCTTACCAACCGCTCCGCTTCTGCCACCCCCCTCTGTCATTCCCTCCACTGGCTTCTGATTGTCCAATGCATTAAATTCAAAATACTACTCTAACATACAAAGCCATTCATAACGCTGCCCCAAGCTACATCACCGACCTGATACCCAAATACCACCCTACCCGTGCCTTCGCTTCTCACAAGACCTGCTACTCTCTAGCTCCCTGGTCTCCTCCTCCCACACCCGACTGCAGGACTTCTCCAGGACTTCCCCCATCCTCTGGAACTCACTACCCCAATCCATCAGACTGTCACCTACCCTCCCTCACCTTTAGGCGCACCCTGAAAACCCATCTCTTCAGGGAAGCCTACCCCACCCTCACTTAACAGCCGATCTTCTCCACTCCTCCCACCACTCCATCCCCCACAGCCATTACCTCCTGTACCACTATCCCCTCCCTCCTAGATTGTAAGCTCGAAAGAGCAGGGCCCTCGAATCCCTCGTGTGGATTGTTTTGTTACTGTATAGTCTCATGTTCTGTCCCCCACTATAATGTACAGCGCTGAGCAAACCTTTTGGTGCTATATAAATACTGTATAATAATAATAATAATCTTTCATCTCCATGAGAGGTGTAGTGTTTTTATGCAATGCTTTTTTGTGCACTTTGCTGTACACTAAAGGTTTGTGAGTACCGATCCTTTTTTTAATAAATGCTTCAACCTAAATACTATACTATGGAGCCTCCCTCTGTGTTTTTTGCTGTAATATGGCTCAGTTTTTAACTCCGGAGCTACTGTCTGTGATGAGAATATTTAGATCCTGGTCGCTCTTTGGATCACATATTAAAGTGCTGTGAGACCTCTTGATCTGTGGGGTTTTGATAAGCAGTTTGATGTGATAGTGGAAGAACACCTGGAGGATTATTCTCTGAACATGTTTTGAAGTATGGTGTATTGACACTTATGAATGTTATGCCACTGATTTAAAAGATTGTGTTTTTTATGACACTGTAGGTGTGATTTCTTATTTCTTTACTGTCAATTTCTGATTGTTATTCACACATTTCACACATTGATTTTTAATCATTACCAGTTTAAAGAGATGGTGCACCACATATTTGTTTTTGTATTTTCAGAGTAAAGACAAAACAGAACTGCTAATCACAAGAAAAGAACAAGGGGGTTGATTTACTAAAACTAGAGAGTGCAAAATCTGGTGCAGCTGTGTATGGTAGCCAATCACCTTCTAACTTCAGCTTGTTCAATCAAGCTTTGACTATAAAACCTGAAATCTGATTGGTTTTTATGCAGAGCTGCACCAGATTGCACTCTCCAGTTTCAGTAAATCAACCCCAAGGTATCAATGTCCCATCATAATTAAGTAAGGATTATAAAATTACAAGACAGCAGATCAAAATCAACATACATTGTATCCAAGTGCACAAATGATACTTTTGTGTTATTAATAAATACTAACAAAAGGGCAAGGAAGTATAAAATGTAGCACATCACACAAAAAGATGCAGATTGTCTTTCAAATGTTAGAGTCAACCACGTAAAATTTTTAGCCAACAGCTAGTTAGGTGCCCCTAGGATGTGGTAGATATTACCCTCATGCCCACAATCCCTCCAACAATTAGAGGAAAAAGAGCTAATACATTTAGACAGACAAAGTGGGGTGAAATACCATATAAGAATTATTTTTGTAAATGTTCCCCCAAGTTGGTACAGTATGTAGCTTTGTAAATCAAGTGAAGTGCCTTTGACCATTGAGAAGGAGTATAACAACAGTCCAACTCCCTTTTCCAGCTTTTAAAAGGTGCTGATTTAAAAAAACCACTTTACTACTGCGCTATAGCCAAATGACGGTTACAACGCGGTAGTCCAGTTCTGGGAGGGCATCATATGACGTCCTCCTCCCTCCTGTGCACCCCCAGTGGCATGCTCCCGGCGCTATCTGTGATTGCTGTTTCCTTTGGAGCCCCAAAAGTGCCCAACAGTGCTGCTTATCAGTGCCCAACAGTGCTGTCCATCAGTGCCCAAAAGTGGCACCAGTCAGTGCCATCAGTCAGTGTTACCAGTCAGTGTCATCAGTAAGTGCCCTTCAGTGCTACCTACAGTATTAGTGCCCTTCAGTGCTGCCTATCAGTGCCCATTACTGCCACCTATCAGTGGCATATCAGTGCAGTAGCATTAGTGCAGTAGCATCAATGCCCACCAGTGCTACCTCATCAGTGTCATCTCATCAGTGCAACCTATCAGTGCTGCCTATCAGTGCCACCTCATCAGTGCCCATCAGTGCTGCCTATCAGTGCAGCCTCATTAACGTACATCAGTGCAGGAGAAAAATAACCTGTTTGCAAAATTTTATAATAGAAACAAAGAAAACCTTTTTTGTTTTGTTTTTTCAAAATGTTCCATTTTTTTGGTTTATAGTGCAAAAAATAAAACATGCAATGGTGATTAACCACTTGCCTATCGGCACTTATACCCCCTTCCTTACCAGGCCAATTTTCAGCTTTCAGCGTTGTCACAATTTGAATGACAATTGCGCGGTCATGCATCATTGTACCCATATGAAATTTTTATCTCTTTTTCTCATAAATAGAGCTTTCTTTTGGTGGTATTTAATCATCACTGAGTGTTTTACTTTTTGCGCTATAAACAAAAAAAAATGCAAAAAATTTTTAAAAAAAAAAAGTTTCTTTGTTTCTATTATAAAATTTTGCAAACAGGTAATTTTTCTCCTTCACTGATGTGCATTGATGAGGCACCAGTGATGGGCACTGATAGGCGGCACTGTTGGGCACTGATAGGCAGCACTGATAGGCGGCACTGATGATAGGTACTGATAGTCAGCACTGATAGGCGGCACTGACTGGCGGCACTGCTGGGCATTGACTGGCGCAACTGTTGGGCACTGACTGGCACAATTGCTGGGCACTGACTGGTGGCACTGACTGGCGGCACTGAAGGGGAAATGGTGGGTAGCACTGCAGGGCACAGGTGGGTGGCACTGCTGGGCACAGGTGGGCGACACAGGTGTGTGGCACTGCTGGGCACTGGTGGGTGGCACAGGTGGGTGGCACTGATAAGCACTGGTGGGCACAGGTGGGTGGCACTGCTGGGCACAGGTGGGCGGAGCTGGTGGGTGGCACTGCTGGGCACCGATCATCAGGGCACTGATCATCAGTGCCCTAATCATCGGTGCTGATCCCTGCTCTGACAACTGCCAGTTCTCAGCAGTACTTTCCTCACGCTTTGACAGCGAGAGGAAAGTGCAGCCAAGAACCGGCAATTGCATTTCCCTGTGATCAGTGTGTCATTGGACATGGCTGATCACGTGGTAAAAGGCCGCTGTGATTGGCCTTTTACCACATCACGTGATCAGCTATGTCCTACGGACATAACGATCACGGAGATTGCCGGGGGGCACGCAGGAGAGCGCGTTCTGGGAGGACGTCATATGATGCCCTCCCAAAACTGGCCGGCCGCAGTGTAGCTGTCATTCGGCTATCCGCGGTTGGCAACTGGTTAAACAGCTCTATTTGTATGAAAAAAATGATAAAAATGTCATCTCGGTACAGTGTTGCATCAGCACGCAATTGTCATTCAAAGTGTGACAGGTCTGAAAGCTGAAAATTGACCTGGACAGGAAGGGGGTAAAAGTGCCCGGTAGGCAAGTGATTAAAGAATAAATCTTGAAGCAAGCAGTGCATAGAATAATTATATACCTCTTATTTTGCTGTGTTCAGCTTTATAGTAAAGCCAAGATTTTCATTGTAATTTAACGTGCAATAGAACCAGGCAATGTGATATTTGTAAAAATTGATAGTATTATGAATGCAGTAGAGAATATTCCTTCTGAAGAGCTGTGAAAG